AGAGATCAGCTCAAAGAAGATATACAGGATACCATCTCAATGGTAAGTTGAACATGGCAGAGAAACAGTAGGCAAAGAGCAGGTGACTTTATCATTATGGGCCATTTTTATTCTTTTGGAACTTTTAATTGATTGGGTATGGTTCGGAGTCAGCAAGGATTGTATTCATTGATATCACTAAGTGTAGCCAAAAATATTGTTCTTTTAGGGAAGTTAAGAGTGATAGCAGGCACATCGCCCCTCATAAATGCTGAGTACAGCTATTTCCATCCTTACATTCATTTTACATGTGCATTTTAGAAAAATGCAACTAAACCATCATAGGATTTTTTGGAGAAAAATTAGGCAATTAATCAGTGGAACGACTTGCCTGCAGTAGTTGTGAGTCCTCCAACACTGGAGGTTTTCAAGAAGAGACTGGACAACTATTGGTCTAAAATGGTATCGTGCAGTGATGGCGAATCTTTTTTCCCTTGGGTGCCGAAAGTGCCCGCGTGTGCATGCCCACATCCATAATTTAATTCCCCCCCCCCATGCCTTTCCCTCAGCACATGTGGGCGTGACACCCACCTATCCCCCACTGCCCTGTGCATGTGCACATGGCTTTTGGAGCCGGGGGAGAGGTGAAAACGTAGTTCCCCACCCCCTGGAGCTGGAAATGCCCCCCTAGAGCCTCCATACGAGCCCTGTACTTACCTGCCATCCAAAGTGGGCCACATAAAAACTCCTGGGAGGGGAGGGGCAGTGTGGGCGGGGCAGCTGAAAATCAGCTGGCCAGTGCACAGATCCATGCTGGAGCCAAGCAATGGCTCGTGTGCCACCTGTGGCATGCATGCCACAGGTTCGCCATTACGGGTATAGGGTCTCCTGCTTGAGCAGACGGTTGAACTAGAAGACCTCCAACTCTGGTGCTTTTGAACTCTGTTGTGCTTTTCTGTTCTGCTACCACATGTAACATCAAATTGTCAATCCCTGTATTAAGAAAACAACCATATGTGGGAGAAAATATTATTTGAACGGTCACTAAATGAACTGTTGTAAGTCGAGGACTACCCATACTGCAACATATGGCACACAGGTCTTAGCTGGAATCATTAAACTGTTTTGTCTTAGCCTTTAATATCTAGGATGTCATTCCAGAAAGAGTTGTACTGTTAAATTGCTCAACATGCTGCCTATTTCAACAGCGGTAGAAGTGCATGCAGCCTTGCCTACATCAACAGAAGTAAGCTGGAGTAGAATAGCATGTGATGCTTGGGCAGGGGTGGGATTCAGCTGGTTTGCACTGGTTCGGGCGAACCAGATGTTAATTTTGCATCTGGTTCAGCGAACCAGACCGGCTGGGCCCACCCTTCCCAGGACTCTACTACGTGGCCCATTCATCATGCCAGGTAAAGTGCAGGCCCCACACAGAGGCTCTGGGAGGGCAAAAAATGGGCCTCCTGGAAGTCTGGGAATGGGCCCGTTTCTAGCCTCCAGAGCCTGACATTCGATCTCCTGGAGGCTAGGGAAAAGCCTCCAGAGCCTGAGAAGGGCGAAAAACAGGCCTGTTTCCAGCCTCTGGAGGGCCTCCGGGGCCTGGATAGGGCGAAACACACACAGACCACCGTGCTGAAGCAGGCCAAGTAGGTCACGCCAACCAGCAACCAAGCAGATTACTGGTTACTAACATTTTTCAATCCCAGCCCATTGCTTAGCTAACATGAAACTGCTAATTGTGTGGTCTTGATCTAATTCATACTTGCTATCATGGTAAACTATAACATTTGTTTTAGACATGCCATGTTATGGGAATATAGGAACTTCAGCATGTTTGGTTAAATCTAAATTTAAGACTTGGAGCATTGTATGAATCTGTACATTGTATACAAGTTACAGCAAGTATTAGACCCGTTATATTTTGTGTATCAAATTGCATCTTGGTACTCAGCCTACTGTGTTGGAACTTGTTATTGCTTCGTCTAATTTTCCAATTTCACACCGAAAGTGGAATGGAATTATCTGCTGCTGCTTTAAAAGAACAGATTTAGCAGGTAATTTCCTATGGCAAAACAATTGCCTTTTATAGCTAAGGTACTGAGAATTCATTAATCAGGGATACAAAACAGACTGATGCATAAGTTGATTTATCACCTGTGAAATACCTTTCCTGTGACCTCGGTATCTCTAAACCTAGTAATAGCCCCATGAATATTCCTTGGGTCTGCTATGCATCTACTATTTTTTATACTAAAAGTCCAAGCAGAGATTAAGTATTGCTCTAGGGCACACGTGTCAAACACACCGCATCACGTGACGTATTGTGATGTTTTTTCACGGAGCTGGAGTGGGCGTGGCCTGCAAGTGATGCATCTGGCCCACAGGCCGCCAGTTTGACGCCCCTGCTCTAGGGTATATCCATATCTAGTACTCTTGAATCTGTCTCCCCATAGTCTCGGCCATTATACTACACAGACTATCCATTCAAAGGGATCATTGTTTAAGAGAATATTGTTACAATACATTTAGAATGTCTTTTCGGTAGCAGCATCAGTTTTACATATATTTTACATATTTTCAAGTTATTTGATGGTGAAAGGAGAATGTGGAGGAGGGAAAAAGATTCTTAAGTATTTGCAAGGAATTCATTAAGATTATTGCAAAACAAAGTTAAAAGTGATTACAACATTTGATAACTTTTGATGCTGCATTTTCAATATATTAAATTGTGTTTCACTTATATGCTCTAATTTCCTGAAAAATCAAAGCAATCTACCAAAAAGGAAGAATTAGAGAAGGACTTGGAGCAAGAGGAG